TTTCCTGTCTTTTGTAAGGTTAACATTTTATACATATTTTTAAGAAGTTAGGCTAAACCTGAAAATAAATGAAACTCAGCCCTGTGAAATATATTTGCTTTAGAAATGTAAGTATACACCACACTGTTCCATCTACAGTCTTCCTCATCTCAGTGTTTGTAAACCCCACCTTGTAGTTTCTCAGGTCAAAGATCTTGGTGTTGTTATTGACTTATTTTTCTCTTCCAAAACTCTCACCTAATCCATTAACAAATCCTGAGGGCTTCACCTCCAAAATATATCCAGAATCTTACCTCTTCTCACCACTTCCTCCAAGACCACCTGGCTCAAGCCAAAGACATGTACTTCAGAGACTCAAAACAGGTTTCATGAAAGACACGGGCTCCTCCACAGAGAGCAAGATGATATTTTAAGCAACTGCTTGTGTGTGGAATGCCAGAGAGTGGTGGTGATTGAAAGGAAAAACCCTGGCCTGAGCNCTGCTTGTGTGTGGAATGCCAGAGAGTGGTGGTGATTGAAAGGAAAAACCCTGGCCTGAGCACAAAATAAGACACACCAGGAGGCAGGGGCTCAACCAAAGTGTATTAGGCAGGCAAAGTGAACAAGCGGGCTGCCCTCTCGAAAGTGGGAGCAGCAGCTGGGAGAGTCAGGCTGGGCCTTTCATATCCAGTTAGGCTGAGCTGGACTGTTCCTATTGGCTAAGAAGGAAGGGGAGGGAAGTGAGCGGGGTTTAAGCTGAGCTGGGACTTTCTCATAGGCGGGCAAAATTGCACATGTGGGAAGGTGACGTGGCAGCTAGGGGATTTTTCTGGGTGGGGGGTTTCTGGAAAACTTTCTCAGGTGCCATTTTGTGTATCTCGGTCTTTAACGCCATTTTGCTTTTCTGGTGGTGGGTATATTAACCAACAGTGGTCATGTGGAGTCTTACAAGGTGAGATTCATTCCTCTTAGCCTTTGGCATCTGTATTAGTTTGTCTTGTGTTGCTTATAACAAAATACCTGGATCTGGGTGGTTTATAAAGAAAAACAACATTTATTGCTTACAGTTTCTGAGGCTGAGAAGTCCAGAGTCCACCTGGTGGTGGCAACAGTGACGCAGGGGTCTCACATTCCAAGATGGTGGAAGGAGAGCGAGAACAGAGAGAGAAAGACAGACTTTCCTCTTCTTTTAAAGCCCTCAGGACCACACCCCTGACCACCATTTCTAATCCATTTACTACAGCACGGTCCTAGAATCCAAACACTTCTTCAAGGTCCCACCTTACAATTACCATAATAGGATTTCCCACCCTCTTCACAGTTACAGTGNCGTGGGGATCGCCATTTGTTACACCTCCTTTCCCTGTGTAACTATACGAAGAAAAGAATTACGTGAATACTCAAGCACTATGTATGCATTGAGGCCCGGACAGACTGCACTTCAGTAATTTCTCCATTAGGAGGAGCAAAACTGAAAGTGGCAGCTGCTTCCAAAGTTAGCCTCTTCCTTTTATTGTAAAGACATGGAAGTATTACAAGAGAATTCAGTTGTTTTAACCATTACAAAGACACAAGGATATCGGCAGAATTATGGCTAACAAATGGAAAACTAGTAACATCATTGAAATAGACAAGGTGGCATTCCATAATGCAATTTGCAAGAGGTTAAGTCGATCCACCAACAAAAGATTGATCTTAGC